CTTTGGGAAATCCTTGGAAAATCTCTTAAAAAATCCATGAAATTCCAGAAAAATCCACCCCAAAATTCCTAAAAAAATCTCCTAAAAATCCCCAAAAAAATGTAAAAAAAACCCCAAAAATTGCTGAAGAATTTTCTGGAATCTGTTCAGGAATTCCTGGAAAATCTTTGGAAAATCTCCTGAAAAATCCACAAAATTCTGGAAAAATCCACCCCAAAATTCCTAAAAAAAATTTCCTATAAATGCCAAAAAAATGTAAAAAAAATATCAAAAATTCCTGAAAAATCCCAATAAAAAAAATCCCCAAAATTCCCTCAAATTTCCAAAAAAAATCCGGAGAAATCCCCAAAAAAATTCCAAAAAAATCCCCCAAAATATTTCCATGAATTCCTAAAATAAAAATGATGGAATTTTGGGGGTTATTTTTGGGAATAGGAGGTTTTTTTCCCATGGAAAATGATGGAATTTTGGGGTTTTTTGGGGAAATTTGGGAATGAATTTGGGAATTAGGGTTACTGGGAATGCTGGGAATGCCAAATCCAGGCAAATTGGAGCCTTTTTTCCATGGAAAATGACAGAATTCCAGGGATTTTGGGGTTTTTTGGGGGAATTTGGGAATTAATTTGGGAATTTGGGTTTCTGGGAATGCTGGGAATGCCAAATCCAGGTGAACAGGAGCCCTTTTTTCCATTAAAAATGACAGAATTCCAGGGATTTTGGGGTTTTTTTTGAAATTTGGGAATGAATTTGGGAATTTGGGTTACTGGGAATGCTGGGAATGCCAAATCCAGGCAATTTGGAGCCTTTTTTCCATGGAAAACGATGAAATTCCAGGGATTTTGGGGTTTTTTGGGGGAATTTGGGAATGAATTTGGGAATTTGGGTTACTGGGAATGCTGGGAATGCCAAATCCAGGCAAATTGGAGCCTTTTTTCCATGGAAAATGATGGAATTCCAGGGATTTTTGGGAATTTGGGTTACTGGGAATGCTGGGAATGCCAAATCCAGGTGAACAGGAGCCTTTTTTCCATGGAAAATGACAGAATTCCAGGGATTTTGGGGTTTTTTGGGGAAATTTGGGAATGAATTTGGGAATTTGGGTTACTGGGAATGCTGGGAATGCCAAATCCAGGCAAATTGGAGCCTTTTTTCCATTAAAAATGACAGAATTCCAGGGATTTTTTGGGAATTTGGTTACTGGGAATATTGGGAATACTGGGAATGCCAAATCAATGTTAACAGAAGCCATTTCCCATGGAAAACAACAGAATTCCATGGATTTTTTGGGGAAAATTAGGGTTATTTGGAATACTGGGTACATTGGGAATACTGGGAATGCCAAATCCAGGCAAATTGGAGCCTTTTTTCTATGGAAAATGACAGAATTCCAGGGATTTTTTGGGAATTAGGGTTACTGGGAATGCTGGGAACACTGGGAATGCCAAATCCAGGCAAATTGGAGCCCTTTTTCCATGGAAAACAACAGAATTCCAGGGATTTTGGGGTTTTTTGGGGAAACTTGGGATTTAATTTGGGAATTTGGGTTATTGGGAATACTGGGAATATTGGGAATACTGGGAATGCCAAATCAATGTTAACAGAAGCCATTTCCCATGGAAAACAACAGAATTCCAGGGATTTTGGGCATTTTTTTTCCTGGGATCCGAGCAGATTCCCAGAATTGCCCAAATTCCCGGAATTCCCGCAGGACGTGTTCGAGTTCAGCTACGCCAAAATGCCGGACGAGCCTCAGGATTCCGGCGGCGCCGCGGCCTCGGCTCCGCTCCCCATTCCCAAATCCTCGTCCGAGGAATCGTCCAGCGAGGAGGAGGAGGAGGAAGAGGAAGAGGAGGAGGAGGAAGACGAGGAGAGCTCGACGGAAACGTCGTCGGAGAGCGAGGAGAGCTCGGATTCCGAGGAGGAGAGAGCGAATCGGCTGGCGGAGCTGCAGGAGCAGGTGGGGAAAATTGGGAAAGGATGGGGGAAAAAAATAGGGGAAAAGTTGGGAAAAACGGGGAAAAAAATGGGAAAAAATCGGGAAAAAGATTGGGGAAAAAACTAGGAAAAATTGGGAAAAATGGGGAAAAAATAGAGAAAAAATCAGGAAGAATTGGGGAAAAAATGGAGAAAATTGGAAAAAGATTGGGGAAAAAATGGGGAAAAAAATTGGGAAAAAGTTGGGAAATATGGGGAAAAAAATTGGAAAAAATTGGGAAAAAAATTGGGAAAAGTTGGGGAAAAGATTGGGAAAAAAATGGGAAAAATGGGGAAAAATATCAGGAAAAATTGGGGAAAAAACAGGAGAAAATTGGAAAAAGATTGGGGGAAAATGGGGAAAAAAATTGGGAAAAAGTTGGGAAAAATGGGGAAAAAAATTGGAAAAAATTGGGAAAAGTTGGGGAAAAGATTGGGAAAAATGGGGGAAAATTTGGGAAAAATGGGGAAAAAAACAGGAGAAAATTGGAAAAAGATTGGGGAAAAAATGGGAAAATATTGGGAAAAAAATAGGGAAAAATGGGGAAAAGTTGGGAAAAAGATTGGGGATAAAACTAGGAAAAATTGGGAAAAATGGGGAAAAAATAGAGAAAAAATTAGGAAAAATTGGGAAAAAAATTGGAGAAAATTGGAAAAAGATTGGGGAAAAAATGGGGAAAAAAATTGGGAAAAAGTTGGGAAATATGGGAAAAAAATTGGAAAAAATGGGGAAAAATATCAGAAAAAATTGGGAAAAGTTGGGGAAAAGATTGGGAAAAATGGGGAAAAATATCAGGAAAAATGGGGAAAAAACAGGAGAAAATTGGAAAAAGATTGGGGGAAAATGGGGAAAAAAATTGGAAAAAATTGGGAAAAGTTGGGGAAAAGATTGGGAAAAAATTGGGAAAAATGGAGAAAAATATCAGGAAAAATTGGGGAAAAAATGGAGAAAATTGGAAAAAGATTGGGGAAAAAATGGGAAAAATGGGGAAAAAAATTGGGAAAAAGTTGGGAAATATGGGAAAAAAATTGGAAAAAATGGGGAAAAATATCAGAAAAAATTGGGAAAAGTTGGGGAAAAGATTGGGAAAAATGGGGAAAAATATTGGGAAAAAAATTGGGAAAAGTTGGGGAAAAGATTGGGAAAAATATCAGGAAAAATTGGAGAAAATTGGAAAAAGATTGGGGAAAAATTGGGAAAAGTTGGGAAAAATATTGGGAAAAAATGGGGAAAAAATTGGGAAAAATGGGGAAAAATATTAGGAAAAATGGGGAAAGAAGTGGGAAAAAAATTGGAAAAAAGACTGGGAAAAATGGGAAAAAAACTGGGAAAAATGCGGAAAAAATCAAGGGAAAAATGGGGAAAAAATAGTAAAAAATTCACAAAAAATCATTAAAAAATCCAAAAAAAATGGGAAAATAATTTGGAAAAGCAGGAAAAAATTATGAAAAAATTGGGAAAGAAGTGGGAAAAAATCATGGAAAAATTGGGGAAAATTGGGGAAGAAATGGGAAAGAATAGGAAAAAAATCAAGAAAAATTGGGAAAGAAGTGGAAAAAACCTGGGAAAAATGATAAAAAATGGGGATAAAACTAGGAAAAAAAATAGGAAAAAAGAGAGAAAAAGCAAGAAAAAAAAGGGAAAAAAATTATGAAAAAACTGGGAAAAATCGGGAAAGAAATGGGAAAAAATTGGGAAAAATTGTGGAAAAATTGGGAAAGAAATGGGAAAAAATGGGGAAAGAAATGGGAAAAAATTGGGAAAAGTCAGGAAAAAATGGGAAAAAATTAAGAAATACCCAACAAAAAACTCAGAAAAAATTAAGGAAAAAACGGGGGAAAAAATTATAAAAAATTCACAAAAAATCATTAAAAAATCCGAAAAAAAATGGGGAAAAATTCCAGAAAAACGGGAAAAAATTCGGAAAAGCGGGAAAAAATTCCCGGGAAATGGGGACGGGAATGCGGCTCCGGGATTCGCGGCACTGTCCCGTCCTTGCCTCCGCAGCTGCGCGCCGTGCACGAGCAGCTGGCCGCGCTCTCGCAGGGCCCCGTGTCCAAACCCAAACGGAAACGGGAGAAGAGGAAGAGGAAGAAAACGGAAAAGCACAAAGGGAGGGCGGGGCCCGAGGAGGAAACGCGAGCGAGGCAGGCGCAGCTCCGGAGAGCGCGGAAAGGATCGGCCGGAACGGCTCCCAAGTGAGCATCTGGGATTTTTGGGAATGGTTTATTGGGATTTAGGAATGGTTTATTTGGATTTAGGAATGGTTTATTTGGATTTAGGAATGGTTTATTTGGATTTGGGAATGGTTTATTGGGGTTTAGGAATGGTTTATTGGGATTTAGGAATGGTTTATTTGGGATTTGGGAATGGTTTATTGGGATTTGGGAATGGTTTATTGGGATTTGGGAGGAATGGTTTATTGGGATTTGGGAATGGTTTATTGGGATTTGGGAGTGGTTTATTTGGGAATGGTTTAGTTAGGAATGGTTTATTTGGATTTGGGAATGGTTTATTGGGATTTAGGAGGTGTTAATTTGGATTATTGGGATTTGGGAATGGTTTATTGGGATTTAGGAATGGTTTATTGGGGTTTAGGAATGGTTTATTTGGATTTGGGAATGGTTTATTTTGGATTTGGGAATGTTTTATTGGGATTTGGGAGTGGTTTATTTGGGAATGGTTTAGTTAGGAATGGTTTATTTGGATTTGGGAATGGTTTTTTAGGATTTAGGAGGGATTTATTGGGATTTGGGAATGGTTTATTTAGGAATGGTTTATTGGGATTTAGGAATGGTTTATTAGGATTTAGGAGGGGTTTGTGGGGATTATTGGGATTTGGGATTTGGGAATGGTTTATTTGGGGTTTGGGAATGGTTTATTGGGATTTGGGAATGGTTTATTGGGATTTGGGAATGGTTTATTTGGATTTGGGAATGGTTTATTGGGATTTAGGAATGGTTTATTGGGATTTGGGAATGGTTTATTGGCATTTAGGAATGGTTTATTGGGATTATTGAGATTTAGGAACGGTTTATATGGGATTTAGGAATGGTTTATTTGGGATTTAGGAATGGTTTATTTGGGATTTGGGAATGGTTTATTTGGGATTTGGGAATGGTTTATTGGGATTTAGGAATGGTTTATTTAGGAATGGTTTATTGGGATTTAGGAATGGTTTATTGGGATTTAGGAATGGTTTATTTGGGATTTGGGAATGGTTTATTTGGGATTTGGGAATGGTTTATTGGGATTTGGGAATGGTTTATTGGGATTTAGGAATGGTTTATTGGGATTTGGGAATGGTTTATTGGGATTTGGGAATGGTTTATTGGGATTTAGGAGGGGTTTATTGGGATTATTGGGATTTGGGAATGGTTTATTGGGATTTGGGAATGGTTTATTTGGGTTTGGGAATGGTTTATTGGGATTTGGGAATGGTTTATTTGGGAATGGTTTATTGGGATTTGGGAATGGTTTATTGGGATTTGGGAATGGTTTATTTGCGATTTGGGAATGGTTTATTTGGATTATTGAGTTTTAGGAATGGGGTTTATTGGGGTTTAGGAATGGGGTTTATTGGGGTTTAGGAGGAGTTTATTTGGGATTTAGGAGGAGTTTATTTGGATTATTGGGGTTTGGGAATGGTTTATTTGGGAATGGTTTATAGGGATTTAGGAATGGTTTATTGGGATTTAGGAACGGTTTATTGGGATTTGGGAATGGTTTATTTGGGAATGGTTTATTTGGATTTGGGAATGGTGTATTTGCATTTAGGAAGGGTTTATTTAGGAATGGTTTATTTGGATTTGGGAATGGTTTATTGGGATTTAGGAATGGTTTATTTGGATTTAGGAATGGTTTATTTGGGATTTAGGAATGGTTTATTTGGATTTAGGAATGGTTTATTGGGGTTTGGGAATAGTTTATTTGGATTTAGGAATGGTTTATTGGGATTTAGGAATGGTTTATTGGGATTTAGGAATGGTTTATTGAGATTTGGGAATGGTTTATTGGGATTTAGGAATGGTTTATTTGGGATTTAGGACTGGTTTATTTGGGATTTGGGCGGGGCAGGCGCAGCTCCGGAGAGCGCGGAAAGGATGGGCCGGAACGGCTCCCAAGTGAGGATCTGGGATGGGATTATTTGGGATTGTTGGGATTTAGGAGGAGCTTAAAAAATTACAAAAAAAACCCAAAAATCCCCAAAAGAATCACAAAAATCCCGCAAAAATCCCCCCAAAAACCCCACGAAAAATTACAAAAGAATCACAAAAAATTACCACAAAAAACCCCAAAATTCCAAAAATCCCCCCCAAAAAATCCCCCCCAAAAATGACAAAAAAATCCAAAAAATCACAAAAAATACCCCAAAATTGCAAAAAAAAATTTCAAGAAAGCCAAAAAATCCCCCCAAAAATAGCAAAAAAATCTCCTCAAAAATCACAAAAAAATCCCAAAAATCCTCAAAAAAATAAAAAAAAATCCGAAAATTCCCCCAAAAAATCACAAAAAAATTACAAAGTAATTCCAAAAAATAAAAAAAAATATCACAAAAAAATCCCCCAAAATTGCCGAAAAAATTCTCAAAAAATTTACAAAATAATCCAAAAAACCCCCCAAAAAATCTCCAAAATTCCCCAAAAACCAAAAAAAAATCCCAAAAAATTCACAAAAAAATTACAAAACAATCCAAAAAATCCTAAAAAAAATTTTTAAAAAATTCCTAAAAATCACAAAAAAATCCACAAAAAGAATACAAAATAATCCAAAAAATCCTAAAAAAAAAAAGAAAAAATTCCCTAAAAAACCCAATAAAATTCACAAAAAAATCACAAAAAAATTCAAAAACCCCAAAAAAATCCCCAAAATTCCCCAAAAACCAAAAAAAAAATCCCAAAAAATTCACAAAAAAATTACAAAATAATCCAAAAAATCCTAAAAAAATTATAAAAAATCCCTAAAAATCCCAAAAAAATTCACAAAAAAATTACAAAATAATCCAAAAAAATCCTAAAAAAAATCCTTAAAAATCCCAAAAAAATTCACAAAAAAAATTCACAAAAAAATTACAAAATAATCCAAAAATTCCCTAAAAATCACAAAAAAATCACAAAAAAATTACAAAGTAATCCAAAAAATAAAAAAAAAAATCCCCCAAAAATTCACAAAAAAATTACAAAATAATCCAAAAAATCCTAAAAAAATTATAAAAAATCCCTAAAAATCCCAAAAAAATTCACAAAAAAATTACAAAATAATCCAAAAAAATCCTAAAAAAAATCCTTAAAAATCCCAAAAAAATTCACAAAAAAAATTTACAAAATAATCCAAAAAACCCTAAAAAATTAAACAAAAAATCCCTGAAAATCACCAAAAAATTCACAAAAAAAATTACAAAATAATCCAAAAAATCCTAAAAAAATTATAAAAAATCCCTAAAAATCACAAAAAAATTCACAAAAAAATTACAAAATAATCCAAAAAAATCCTAAAAAAATCCTTAAAAATCCCCAAAAAAATTCACAAAAAAAATTACAAAATAATCCAAAAAAATCCTAAAACAATCCTTAAAAATCCCAAAAAAATTCACAAAAAAAATTACAAAATAATCCAAAAAACCCTAAAAAATTTAAAAAAAAATCCCTAAAAATCCCCAAAAAAATCCACAAAAGAAATTTACAAAATAATCCAAAAAAATCCCTAAAAAAATTAAAAAAAAATCCCTAAAAATCCCAAAAAAATTCACAAAAAAATTCCAAAAAAATTCACAAAAAAATTACAAAAAAATCCAAAAACCCCCCAAAACCATCAAAATTAATCCCCAACCCTTTAATTCCAGAAGCTCCAAACGCAGCAGCAAAACCCCCGCGGCCGCTCCGCCTCCGACTTTGGCCGATTCCGAGGAAGAGGAAGAATCCAAACCCATGACCTACGACGAAAAACGTCAGCTGAGCTTGGACATCAACAAACTCCCGGGAGAAAAATTGGGAAGAGTCGTTCACATCATCCAATCCCGGGAACCTTCGCTCCGAGATTCCAACCCCGAGGAGATCGAGATCGACTTCGAGACATTGAAACCGTCGACGCTGCGCGAGCTGGAGAGATACGTGTTGTCGTGTCTGAGGAAAAAACCACGGAAACCCTACAGCGAGAGTGAGGAAAAATGGGAATTTTGGGGATTTCTGGGGAAAAAATGGAGATTTTAGGTGAAAAAACGGAGATTTTAGGTGAAAAAATGGAGAATTTAGGTGAAAAAATGGAGATTTTAGGTGAAAAAATGGAGGTTTTATGGTAAAAAATGGGAATTTTAGGGCAAGAAATGGGAATTTTAGGGCAAGAAAGGGGAATTTTTGGGATTTTAGGGCAAAAAATGGGAATTTTTGGGGGTTTTTGGATGGAAAATGGGGATTTTCATGGGTTTTTGGGAATTTTTTGGAGTTTTTGGGGTGTTTGGGGACGTTGGGAGTTGGAGAGATCCGTGTTGTCGTGTCTGAGGAAAAAACCACGGAAACCCTACAGCGAGAGTGAGGAAAAATGGGAATTTTGGGGGAAAATCTGGGATTTTTGGGATTTTTCGGTGAAAAAATGGAGATTTTAGGTGAAAAAATGGAGATTTTAGGTGAAAAAATGGGAATTTTAGGGCAAGAAATGGGGATTTTTGGGGTTTTAGGGCAAAAAAATGGAGATTTTAGGTGAAAAAGTGGGAATTTTTGGGATTTCTGGGGAAAAAATGGAGATTTTAGGGCAAAAAATGGGAATTTTAGGGCAAGAAATGGGAATTTTTGGGGTTTTAGGGCAAAAAATGGGGATTTTGGGGCAAAAAATGGAGATTTGGGGAATTTTAGGGCCAAAAATGGGAATTTTGGGGAAAAATGGGAATTTTTAGGAAAAAAATGGGAATTTTTAGGGAAAAAATGGGGATTTTAGGGGGGGATTTTTTCCCTCATTTTCTCTGATTTTTCCCTGATTTTCTTTAATTTTTCCATAAATTTTTCTCTAATTTTCCCCAAATTTTTTCCTGAATCTTTCCCTGAATTTTTCCCGAATTTTTTCTCCATTTTTCCTGAATTTTTCCCCATTTTTCCCGAATTTTCCCCAAATTTTCCCCAAATTTTCCCCAATTTTTTCCCTGATTTTCCGCAATTTCTTCCCCATTTTCCCCCATTTTTCCTGAGTTTTTCCTGAATTTTTCCCCAATTTTTCCCCAAATTTTTCCCTCATTTTTCCCTAATTTTCCCCAAATTTTTCCATAATTTTTCCCGGAATTTTTCCCCATTTTTCCTGAATTTTCCCCCATATTTCCTGAGTTTTTCCTGAATTTTTTCCTAATTTTTCCATGAATTTTTCCCTGGTTTTCCCTGAATTTTCCCCAAATTTTTCCATAATTTTCCCCCATTTTTCATGTGTTTTTCCTGAATTTTTCCCAAATTTTTTCTCCATTTTTCCTGAATTTTTCCATAATTTTCCCCCATTTTTCCCTGAATTTTTCCCTGATTTTCCATGGATTTTTCCCTGAATTTTCCCCAAATTTTTCCCTAATTTTCCCCATTTTTCCTGAGTTTCTCCTGAATTTTTTCCCTCAATTTTCCTCAAATTTTTCCCCATTTTTCCTGAGTTTTTCCTGAATTTTTTCCTAATTTTTCCATGAATTTTTCCCTGATTTTCCCTGAATTTTCCCTGGATTTTCCCCTAATTTTTCCCTCTTTTTCCCTGAATTTTTCCCTGAATTTTCCCCCAATTTTTCCATAATTTTTCGTGATTTTCCCCAAATTTTTCCCTAATTTTCTCTGGATTTTCTTCTCATTTTTCCCTGATTTTCCCCAATTTTTTTCTCCATTTTTCCCCTAATTTTCCCTGAATTTTCCCCTAATTTTTCCCCATTTTTCCCGAATTTTCCCTGAATTTTCCCCAAATTTTTCCATAATTTTTCCCTGATTTTCCCCAATTTTTTCCCCATTTTCCCCCATTTTTCCTGAATTTTTCTTGAATTTTTTCCCTCATTTTTCCTGGATTTTTCCCCAATTTCTCACAATTTTTTTCCCTAATTTCCCCTGAATTTTTCCCCAATTTTTCCCCAATTTTCCCCAAATTTTTCCCTGAATTTTTCCCAAATTTTTTCTCCATTTTTCCTGAATTTTTCCCCAATTTTCCCCCATTTTTCCCTGAATTTTCCCAAATTTTTCCTCTATTTTCCCCTTATTTTTTGAATTTTTCCTGAATTTTTTCCTAATTTTTCCATGAATTTTTCCCTGAATTTTTCCCAAATTTTTCCTGGATTTTTCCATGAATTTTCCTCAAATTTTTCCATAATTTTTCCCTGAATTTTCCCCAAATTTTTCCGTGATTTTCCCCAATTTTTCCTGAATTTTCCCCCGTTTTTCCTGAGTTTTTCCTGAATTTTTTCCGAATTTTTCCATGAATTTTTCCCTGATTTTCCCCCGAATTTTCCCTCAATTTTCCCCAAATTTTTCCATAATTTTCCCCCATTTTTCCTGAGTTTTCCCTGAATTTTCCCCAAATTTTTCCCCATTTTTCCTGAGTTTTTCCTGAATTTTTTCCTAATTTTTCCATGAATTTTTCCCTGATTTTCCCTGAATTTTCCCTGGATTTTCCCCAAATTTTTCCCTCTTTTTCCCTGGATTTTTCCCCAATTTTCCCCAAATTTTTCCCTCATTTTTCCTGAATTTTTTCTGAATTTTTCCCGAATTTTTCCCTAATTTTCCCCAAAATTTTCCCTGAATCTTTCCCTGAGTTTTTCCCAAATTTTTTCTCCATTTTTCCTGAATTTTTCCCCATTTTTCCCTGATTTTCCCCAAATTTTTCCCTTATTTCCCCTGAATTTTCCCCAAATTTTTCCCTGATTTTCCCCAATTTTTTTCTCCATTTTTCCCTAGATTTTCCCCAAATTTTCCCCAAATTTTCCCCAAATTTTCTAAATTTTCCCCTGAATTTTCCCTGAATTTTCCCCCAAATCTCCCCCTCATTCCCCCCCCTTTTCCCCTTTCCCTCCCCCCATTTTTCCCTCTTTTCCCCTCCCCATTCCCGTTTTTTTCCGGAATTTTCCAGCCCTGAAGAAGCCGGTGGGGAAAACGAAAGAGGAGCTGGCCCTGGAGAAAAAACGGGAATTGGAGAAGCGGCTCCAGGACGTCAGCGGGCAGCTCAACTCCGCCAAGAAACCCCCAAAAAAAGGTGGGAATTCCCGGAATTCTGGGAATTTTGGGAAATCTGGGAATTTTGGGAATTGTGGGAGTTGTTATTTGGGATCGGAATTTGGGGATTTTGGGGTCTGGGAGGGGTTGGGGGAGCTCAAATCCACCAAGAAACTCCCGAAAAAAGGTGGGAATTCCTGGAATTCTGGGAATTCTGGGAATTCTGGGAATTCTGGGAGTCCGGGAATTGTGGGAATTGTGGATTGGGATCAGAATTTGGGGATTTGGGGGTTTGGGAGCTCAACTCCGCCAAGAAACCCCCAAAACAAGGTGGGAATTCCCGGAATTTTGGGGATTTTGGGAATTCTGGGAATTTTGGGAATTTTGGGGATTTTGGGAATTCTGGGAATTGTGGATTGGGATTGGGATTTGGGAGATTTTGGGGTCTGGGAGGGGTTTGGGAGCTCAAATCCACCAAGAAACCCCCAAAAAAAGGTGGGAATTCCCTGAATTCTGGGAATTTTGGGGATTTTGGGAATTCTGGGAATTCTGGGAATCCAGGGAATTCTGGGAATTGTGGGAATTGTTATTTGGGATCAGGATTTGGGGGATTTTGGGGGATTTTGGGGTCTGGGAGGGGTTGGGGGAGCTCAACTCCGCCAAGAAACCCCCAAAACAAGGTGGGAATTCCCGGAATTCCGGGGATTTTGGGAATTTTGGGAATTCTGGGAGTCCGGGAATTCTGGGAATTGTGGGAATTTGGGATCAGATTTTGGGGGATTTTGGGGTCTGGGAGGGGTTGGGGGAGCTCAACTCTGCCAAGAAACCCCCAAAAAAAGGTGGGAATTCCCGGAAATTCTGGGAATTTTGGGAATTTTGGGAATTCTGGGAATTTCGGGAATTCTGGGAATTGTGGGAATTGTGGGAATTGTTATTTGGGATCGGAATTTGGGGGATTTTGGGGTTTGGGAGGGGTTGGGGGAGCTCAACTCCGCCAAGAAACCCCCAAAAAAAGGTGGGAATTCCCTGAATTTTGGGATGGGAATTGGGAATTCCGGGATCAGATTTGGGAATTCCGGGATGACACCACCTCCCCCTCCCCCACTCCCGTTTCCTGGATTTCCCCGGAATTTTCCCGGAAATTTCCCAGAATTTTCCGGGAAATTTTCCCGGGATTTCCCGGAATTTCCCGGAATTTCCTGGAATTTTCTGGAATTTCCGGATTTTCCCCTGATTTTCTGGAATTTCCCCGGAATTTTCCCGGAATTTCCCGAAATTTCTTGGATTTTCTCGGAATTTCCTGGAATTTTCCCGGATTTTCCCAGAATTTCCCCGGAATTTTCCTGGAAATTTCCCGGAATTTCCAGAATTTTCCAGAATTTCCCAGGGAATTTCCCTGAATTTCCAGGGGAATTTTCTCAGAATTTTCCTGGGAATTTTCCCGGAGAATTTTCCGGATTTCCCTGGAATTTTCCCAGAATTTCCCGAAATTTCTTGGATTTTCCCGGAATTTCCCGGATTTTCCCAGAATTTCCCGGAACTTTCCCGGAATTTCCCCGGATTTTCCTGGAATTTCCCGGGGAATTTTCTCGGAATTTTCCTGGAATTTTCCCGGAATTTCCCGGGAATTTCCCGGGGAATTTCCCCGAATTTCCAGGGGAATTTTCTCAGAATTTTCCCGGAATTTCCCGGGGAATTTTCCTGGAATTTCCTGGGATTTTCCCGGATTTTCCCGGAATTTCTCGAAATTTCTTGGATTTTCTCGGAATTTCCTGGAATTTTCCTGGATTTTCCCAGAATTTCCCCGGAATTTTCCTGGAAATTTCCCAGAATTTCCAGAATTTTCCAGAATTTCCCAGGGAATTTCCCTGAATTTCCAGGGGAATTTTCTCAGAATTTTCCTGGGAATTTTCCCGGAGAATTTTCCGGATTTCCCTGGAATTTTCCCAGAATTTCCCGAAATTTCTTGGATTTTCCCAGAATTTCCCGGAACTTTCCCGGAATTTCCCCGGATTTTCCTGGAATTTCCCGGGGAATTTTCTCGGAATTTTCCTGGAATTTTCCCGGAATTTCCCGGGAATTTCCCGGGGAATTTCCCCGAATTTCCAGGGGAATTTTCTCGGAATTTTCCCGGATTTTCCTGGGAATTTTCCTGGAATTTCCTGGATTTTCCCGGAATTTCCTGGGGAATTTTCCTGGAATTTTCCGGAATTTCCCCGGAATTTTCCCAGATTTTCCTGGGAATTTCCCGGGATTTTCCTGGAATTTTCCCGAAAATTTCCCGGATTTTCCCGGAATTTCCCGGGGAATTTTCCCGGAATTTCCCGGAGTTTCCCGGGATTTTCCCGGAATTTCCCCGGGAATTTCCCAGAATTTCTCCGGAATTTCCCAGAGTTTCCCGGGGAATTTTCCTGGAATTTCCCGGATTTTCCCCGAATTTCCCTGGGAATTTTCTCGGAATTTTCCCTGAATTTCCCGGATTTCCCGGATTTCCTGGGGAATTTTCCCGGAATTTCCCGGAATTTCTGGAATTTTCCCGGAATTCCCTGAATTTCCCGGGGAATTTCCCCGGAATTTTCCCGGGAATTCCCTGAATTTCCCGCCTTTTGCCGTTGCTTGCAGCGAGCGAGAAGCCGGAATCGGCGGCGGCGGCGGCGGCGTCGCGGCTCAGCGCCTCCAGCTCCAGCTCGGACTCGAGCAGCTCTTCCTCTTCCTCCTCCTCCTCCGACACCAGCGACTCCGAGTCCGGATAATTCCCGGGGGAAAACGCGGAATTCCTGGGGAAAACACGGGATTTCTTGGGAGAAAAGAGAGAATTCCTGGGGAAAATGAGAGAATTCCTGGGAAAAACAGAGAATTCCTGGGGAAAATGAGAGAATTCCTGGGGAAAACAGAGAATTCCTGGGGAAAAGAGAGAATTCCCGGGAAAAACACGGAATTTCTTGGGAGGAAAGAGAGAATTCCTGGGGAAAATGTGGAATTTTTGGGAGAAAATGTGGAATTTCTGGGAAAAAACAGAGAATTCCTGGGGAAAATGTGGAATTTCTGGGGAAAAATGTGGAATTCTTGGGAAAACACGGAATTTCTTGGGAGAAAAGAGAAAACTCCTGGGGAAAAATGTGGAATTTCTGAGAAAAACAGAGAATTTCTGGGAAAAAATGTGGAATTTTTGGGAGAAAAGAGAAAATTTTTGGGGAAAAAGAGAGAATTCCTGGGGAAAATGAGAGAATTTTTGGGAAAAACGTGGGATTCTTGAGGAAAAATGTGGAATTCTTGGGAAAAAACAGAGAATTCCTGGGAAAAAATGTGGAATTCTTGGGAGAAAAGAGAGAATTCCTGGGAAAAACAGAGAATTCCTGGGGAAAATGTGGAATTTCTGGGAAAAAACAGAGAATTCCTGGGAAAAACAGAGAATTCCTGGGGGAAATGTGGAATTTTTGGGAAAAAACAGAGAATTTCTGGGAAAAAGAGAGAATTCCTGGGGAAAAATGTGGAATTTTTGGGAGAAAATGTGGAATTTCTGGGAAAAACAGAAAACTCCTGGGAGAAAAGAGAGAATTCCTGGGGAAAAAGAGACAATTCCTGGGGGAAAATGTGGAATTTCTGGGAAAAAATGCAAATTCCTGGGAAAAAATGCGGAATTTTTGGGAAAAAACAGAGAATTCCTGGGAAAAAGAGAGAATTCCTGGGAAAAAGAGAGAATTCCTGGGGAAAAATGTGGAATTTTTGGGAAAAAATGCGAAATTCTTGGGAGAAAACAGAGAATTCCTGGGGAAAATGTGGAATTTTTGGGGAAAAACATGGAATTCTTGGGAAAAACGTGGAATTCTTGGGGAAAATGTGGAATTCTTGGGAAAACACGGAATTTCTTGGGAGAAAAGAGAGAATTCCTGGGGAAAAAGAGAGAATTCCTGGGGAAAAATGTGGAATTTTTGGGAAAAAATGAGGAATTGTTGGGAAAAATGTGGAATTCTTGGGAGAAAACAGAAAATTCCTGGGGAAAAAGAGAAAATTTCTGGGAAAAACATGGAATTCTAGGGAAAAACATGGAATTCTTGAGGAAAAGTGTGGAATTCCCAGGAAAAATATGGAATTCTTGATAGAAAACAGAAAATTCCGGGGGAAAAAGAGAAAATTCTTGGGAAAAAATGTGGAATTCTTGGGAAAAACGAGAAATTTTTGGGAAAAATGTGGAATTCTTGAGAAAAAATGTGGAATTCTTGGGGAAAACCAGAAAATTTTGGGGGAAAATGTGGAATTCTTGGGAAAAAATGAGAAATTGCTGGGAAAAAATGCGGAATTTTTGGGAAAAACGTGGAATTCTTGGGAAAAACAGAAAATTTTGGGGAAAAACCACGAAATTCCTGGAAAAAAATGAGGAATTGTTGGGAAAAAATGCAGAATTCCCAGGAAAAATATGGAATTCTTGGGAAAAACCATGGAATTCCCAGGAAAAAATACGGAGTTCCCAGGAAAAACATGGAATTCTTGGGGAAAAATGTGGAATTCTTGGGAAAAAATGTGGAATTTTTGGGGAAAACGTGGAATTTTTGGGAAAAAATGCGGAATTTTGGGAAAAAATGCAGAATTTTTTGGGAAAACCATTGAATTCCCAGGAAAAACTCGGATTTCTCAGGAAAAGACGCAGAATTTTTGGGGAAAATGTGGAATTTTTGGGGAAAATGTGGAATTTTTGGGAGAAAATGTGGAATTTTTGGGAGAAAATGTGGAATTTTTGGGAAAAATGTGGAAATTTTGGGAAAAAATGCAGAATTTTTTTGGAAAACCATTGAATTCCCAGGAAAAACTCGGATTTCTCAGGAAAAGACGCAGAATTTTTGGGAAAAATGTGGAATTTTTGGGAAAAACCTGAAATTCCCAGGAAAAAATATGGAATTCTTGGGAAAAACCATGGAATTCCCAGGAAAAAATACAGAGTTCCCAGGAAAAACATGGAATTCTTGGGGAAAAATGTGGAATTTTGGGGGAAAATGTGGAATTTTTGGGGAAAATGTGGAATTTTTTGGGAAAAACATGGAATTTTTGGGAGAAAATGTGGAATTTTTGGGAAAAAATGCAGAATTCTTGGGAAAAGCCATTGAATTCCCAGGAAAAACTCGGATTTCTCAGGAAAAGACGCAGAATTTTTGGGAAAAAACCTGAAATTCCCAGGAAAAAATATGGAATTCTTGGGAAAAAATATGGAATTCTTGGGAAAAACCATGGAATTCCCAGGAAAAAATACAGAGTTCCCAGGAAAAACATGGAATTCTTGGGAGAAAATGTGGAATTCTTGGGGAAAAATGTGGAATTTTTGGGGAAAATGTGGAATTTTTGGGGAAAATGTGGAATTTTTGGGGAAAAATGTGGAATTTTTGGGAAAAAATGCGGAATTTTTGGGAGAAAATGTGGAATTTTTGGGAAAAAATGCAGAATTCTTGGGAAAAACCATTGAATTCCCAGGAAAAACTCGGATTTCTCAGGAAAAGACGCAGAATTTTTGGGAAAAACGTGGAATTTTTGGAAAAAACCACAAAATTCCCAGGAAAAACCTGAAATTCCCAGGAAAAAACATGGAATTCCCAGGAAAAAAGGAGGAATTCTCGGGAAAAACGTGGAATTCTTGGGAGAAAATGTGGAATTTTTGGGAAAAAATGTGGAATTTTTGGGAAAAATGTGGAATTTTTTGGGAAAAAATGTGGAGTTTTTGGGAGAAAATGTGGAATTTTTGGGAAAAATGTGGAAATTTTGGGAAAAAATGCAGAATTTTTTTGGAAAACCATTGAATTCCCAGGAAAAACTCGGATTTCTCAGGAAAAGACGCAGAATTTTTGGGAAAAATATGGAATTCTTGGGAAAAACCATGGAATTCCCAGGAAAAAATACAGAGTTCCCAGGAAAAACATGGAATTCTTGGGAGAAAATGTGGAATTTTTGGGAAAAATGTGGAATTTTTGGGAAAAATGTGGAATTTTTGGGAAAAAATGTGGAATTTCCCTGAAATTCCCAGGAAAAAACACAAAATTCCCAGGAAAAAAGGAGGAATTCTCGGGAAAAACGTGGAATTCTTGGTGGGAAAAAATGTGGAATTTCCCTGAAATTCCCAGGAAAAAACACAAAATTCCCAGGAAAAAAGGAGGAATTCTCGGGAAAAACGTGGAATTCTTGGAAGAAAAAGAAAGAGGGTGGAGGAAAATTGTGTATAAAAAAAAAATCCCGGAGAAAAAATTCCCAGAAAAAGAAAAAACCTGGAAAAGGAAAAAAAAAAAAATAAAATAAAAAATTTGGGGGGAAAGGAAATGGGGGAAAAATGGGGAAAATTCCTGGGAAAAAAATTCCTGGAAAAGGAAAAAAAATGGGGAAAAAATGGGAAAAAAAATCTGGAAAAAAAATTCCTGGAAAAATTCCCAGAAAAAAAATCCCAGAAATAAAAATTCACAGGAAAAAAAATTGGGGGGAAAAATGGGGAAAAACAAAAATCCTGGAAATAAAAGATCTGGAAAAAAAATTTCTTGGAAAAAGAAAAATTCCCAGAAAAAAAAAATCCTAGAAAAAAAAATTCACAGGAAAAAAAATGCCTGGAAAAGGAAAAAAAAAGGGGAAAAAAAATCTGGAAAAAAAATTCCTGGAAAAAGAAAAATCCCCAGAAAAAGAATTTACAGGAAAAAAAATGGGAGAAAAAAAAAGGGAAAAAAAAATCCTGGAAAAAAAAAAAATCCCAGAAGGAAAAAATTCCCAGAAAAAAAAATCCCAGAAATAAGAATTCACAAGAAAAAAAATTCACGGGAAAAAAAAAGCCTGGAAAAGGAAAAAAAATGGGAAAAAATTGGGGAAAAAATCGGAAAAAAAAAATCTGGAAAAAAAATCTGGAAAAAAATTCTTGGAAAAAGAAAAATTTCCAGAAAAAAAAAATCTGGAAAAAAATTCTTGGAAAAAGAAAAATTTCCAGAAAAAAAAATCCCAGAAAAAAAATTCACAGGAAAAAAAATGCCTGGAAAAGGGAAAAAATGGGAAAAAAATTGGGGAAAAAATGGGAAAAAAAAATCCTGGAAATAAAAAATCTGGAAAAAAAATTCTTGGAAAAAGAAAAATTTCCAGAAAAGAAATCCCAGAAAAAAAAATTCACAGGAAAAAAATTGGAAGAAAAAAAAATGGGGAAAAAAATGGGAAAAAAAAATCCTGGGAATAAAATGGGAAAAAAAAATCCTGGGAATAAAAAATCTGGATGAAAAATTCTTGGAAAAATTCCCAGAAAAAAAATCCACAGGAAAAAAAATTCACAGGAAAAAAAAATGCCTGGAAAAGGGGAAAAAAATGGGGAAAAAAATGGGAAAAAAAAATCTGGAAAAAAAAATCCTGGAAAAAGAAAAATTTCCAGTAGGAAAAAATTCACAGGAAAAAAAATTGGGAGAAAAAATCCCAGAAATAAAAATTCACAGGAAAAAAAATGGGAGAAAAAATGGGGGAAAACAAAAATCCTGGAAATAAAAAATCTGGAAAAAAAAATTCTTGGAAAAAGAAAAAATTCCCAGAAGGAAAAAATTCCAATAAAAAAAATTCCCAGGAAAAAAAAAAAGAGAAAAATCCGGAAATAAATTAAATAAAAATCTTCAAAATAATTTTTTTTTAAGACAAAAAAAATCGGAAAAAATTCCAAAAATTTGGAGGGAAAAGGGGGAAAAAAAGGGAAAAGAAAAATAAAGAAATTGGGATTTTTTTGGGGAATTTTTACCTTTTTTTTCCCTAAAACTGGAAAAATTCCCAATTTTCCTCAAAAAAACCTGGAAAAATTCGCTTTTTCATCCCCAAAGAAAGACAAAAAATTCAGGGTTTTTTCTTCAAA